GTCTCGCCCTGTTGCCCAGGCTGGAGTTCAGTGGTATGATATAGCCCTCTGTAACCTCAAACACCTGGGCTCAAGCAATCCTCCCTCCTTAGTCTCCCACGTAGCTGGAACTACAAGCATGCACCACCATGCCTGGCTAATTTTTTAATTCTTATTTAATTTTTGAAGAGGTGGGGTCTAGCTATGTTCCTTGGGCTGGTCTTAAACTTCTGGCCACAGGTGAAGTGATCCTCTTACCTCTGCCTCCCAAAGCACTGGAATTATAGGCTAAGCCACCACACCCGGCTAATCATGTTCTTTAAAACCCTTCCAAGTTGAAGACAAAGGCTAAAAATTTCTAGATGAGTAAGAGCCCATTACTAAGCATCAACTATGCACAAAGCATCCTAAGAAACAAAAAAAAAATTGAGGTGACAGTCCCTGGAGAATTCATAATTGAGATGGAAAGACAGATGGTACCTAAAATACCAAGGAGTTGAGAGTTAAGCAGCTTAAGGCCTCAAATGACTTCCACAAATGACATTCCTCAAATGAGGCAGTCATTTCATTTGGTCCCAAGGCTCCTTCCTTAACCCTGCACCAAAGATGGGACTCCCAGGAAGGGCTGCGTCTTTTCCCCACCTTTGACCTAAAGTTGAGGGTATGTTCAGTGAATCAGGAGCCTGAGCTCCCAACCTGCCTCCAACTTTAATCAGAGAGTTGGGAGCCTGAGCAGCCACTTCCCCTCCAAGCCACTGCGTCCTCATTCATGGAAAGGAATAATAATGAATCCCTCTCAAGTTTCTGCAGAGAGTTCCTTCTGTTGTTTTAAAAAAAAAAAAAAAAAAAAAAAAAAAAAATCAGGGATTTGGGCAACTTGTAGGCTGAAGGGAAGGAAAAAAAGGAAAGAGAGAAACCATGGCCCAGGGAAGGAAAAGGATTCCTGGGGAAAGGAGACCCTGGAGGAGATGAGAAATGGGCAGGTTCTTCCACCCCCAGGCTGCAGCATGGTTAGGGAGAGAGGAGGGAAGCTGGGTGCATATCCCCACAAGACGTCTGTCATCCACTCGAGATAGGAGGAGGGTTCTCTATGAAAAGCAGGGGCTGAAGAGGAGGGATAAAGAGCTGCATTTTTCCTGAAGAACCTGTGTGCTCACTGGAAGGATGCCATGTGGGAAGAGGGCCGAGCCAAGTAGTGGGTCCTCATGTGAGCTGGCACCCATCTCTAATGACACATCCAAGGGCTGGGCCAGCTGGAGGGCAGAGGAGGTCACGACACCTGCGTTCTCCAGGGCTCAGGTCTCTCAGTGGAGCCAGGTAAAGAAGGAAATGGAGACGGGGTGCCTGCCAGAATGAGAGGACAAGGAGAAGTTTCTGCAGGAAGGTTTTGGGGAGGTCAAAGAGCCAGTGAGCGGTGTGCTCAAGGTAGACAGAACATGTTGGTGGGGGGGCAACATTTCTGGGGAAACCACGCATGGCTCAGGATGTGGTTATAAACACCAACTGCTGATTAGAGGGGAAGACTTTCAGACAGGTAAGGAAGGGTCAGCTTGGAGGCTGAGTTGTTATGGGTTGGCCTGTAGGGGCACTGAAGCCATCAGCTATGAGAAGAGAGGTGTGGGAACCGGGAAGGCCCATGAGCAGGGCACCAGCTCCATGGTGAAGCCACGCCTTGGCCAGGAGAGGACAGCACAAGGAAGGGAGCAGTCATGGGGCCAAGAAGGGGAAGAGCGCAACAGAAGGAGGTGGCAAACAAGCACAGAGCACGGGATTCCAAAATCCATCGAGGGTCAGGTGCCCACAGATCTCATCTCCAGACCCAGGTTCAGTGGGGGTGTGGGAGGGGGCATAGCCTCCCCAGAGAGGCCTGCCGGGACAACAGCAAGTAAAGGCAGAGGCCGCAAAGGTAGCTTGCAAACAAAGTGTCAGGGAGCAGTGATCCGGACTCAATTTAGTCTCTAATGCTTCGAGTGTCAGTACAGCATGTTCACATACATCCAGAACTCAGGCTGGTGCCAGATATTGGCATAGAAAAGTCTGGCAGACAGTAGATCTAAAAGGTTCCATCTAAGGGAGAAAAAAGGCTGGCCTGTAATCCCAGCACTTTGGGAGGCCAAGGCTGGAGGACAGCTTGAGCCTTGGAGTTTGAGACCAGCCTGGGCAACAGAGTAGGAACCTGTCTTTACAAAACACAAAAACAAAAATTTAGCTGGGCGTGGTGGCACACACCTATGGTCCCAGCTACGTAGGAGGCTGAGGTGGAAGGATCACTTGAGCCCAGGAGGTCGAGGTTACAGTGAGTCATGATCATGCCACTGCACTCCAGCCTGGACAGCTGAGCAAGACCCTGGCTTACAAAAAAAAGATGGTAATGACAGTAGCCCATCCAAGGGCAGGCATGTGGGGAGGAACTGTCAAGCAATCAAGACACACACCAGCTGAACATTTCCCTTAAGACAGTGCTATGCCCAGTGTCAAGCCAGAGAACTGGAAGGAAGAGCATAACAGGGAATTAGAGGAAAAGGAAGTAACTATGATGTTCCTGCCAGGTGCCAGGTACAAAGCTCAGCAGCCCCGAATATCAGCACGTCAGACACAAAAGACAGCTTCCAGGTCTGTCCTGCCATTGAGGATTTTGATTACATGAAGAGGTCTTATAAGGTAGACCACAAGATATGTGAGAAATTCATCAACCAAATACAACAAATATTTAATAGTGAGGAATGGTTAGGTGTAATGATGTCCGTTTATCTGGGGGGATTATAACTGTGTTCGAGAAAAGAGCCCTTCAGAGTTGTATACTGAAATATGTACAGATGAAAGGATGTGACGTTGAGGATTTATTTCAAAATAATTGAGTGAATTGAGAAAGGAGGACTCTAGGTAAAACAAGATGGATTGTGTATAGAAAACTGGAGAAAATGCCAGGCACGGTGGCTCACGCCTATAATCCCAGCACTTTGGGAGACTGAGATGGGAGGATCACAAGGTAAAGAGATCGAGACCATCCTGGCCAACGTGGTAAAACCCCATCTCTACCAAAAATACAGAAATTAGTTGGGCGTGGTGATATGCGCCTGCAGTCCCAGCTACTTGGGAGGCCAAAGCAGGAGAATCGCTTGAACTTAGGAGGTGGAGGTTGCAGTGAGTCAAGATCGCCCCACGCCACTGCACTCCAGCCTGGTAACAGAGCAAGACTCCATCCCCCCCCAAAAAAAAAAAGAGAAAAGAAG